AAAAAAAAAAAAAAAAAAAAAAAAAAAAAAAAAAGAAAAAAGAAAAAAAAATCTACTGAATCTTCTGAACAATGCTATGAGATGGGTGTTCTGATTTAAAGATTTATGCACGAAGTGGTTGGGCTGTGTGGCTATGATTGAAAGAAGAAGTGATAGAGCAGAGATAGCAACTCCGGTAGCCTGGCCCAAAGTCTGTTCCCTTACCACTGTAATATGCTACACTGCCTGTATAAAACTCCAAACTGCAAACAGTGACCAGTCAGGTCATAAAGGTTGGAGGCATGTGGTAAAGAAGACTGGCCATAGGGAGAGGGGAAGCCTCTTCTATTCAAATACACTCACTTGGGTCGGGTCCTACAGAGGTTCTCTAACCGCTGGAATTCTTGACCATTTCTCTCCCTCTCAGGTAAATATTTAAATTTATTTCCAGGTGTGAGGGCAGACAAATCTGCCACTGTCTCACTTTCAATTACTGGGAGAAAAAAAACAAAACCAGCTCAGAGAGTCAGGCTGGTGTAACTCACTAGTGCTGAAAGGCTTACCCACCTCCCTGTGACTTGTGGCAAGGTGAAAAAGCAGTACTAGATTTTAAGTTAGGTTGAGTCACTTTCTCTCTGGAAAGTTCCAGGTTAAGTGCATGTCAGTGCTCCTACACTTAGCATCTCACTGTGAAATGGTTAATGGTGTAGATGGTAAATTACCTAGTTAAGCTCCAAGGCGGTGTTCACTAACTCTGGCGGCACGGCAGTCACACTGGGAGTTTTTAAGCAATGTTGATCCTACTCCTTCCCAATGAAATATAGTCTTAATGGGGACGGGTGGGGGAATGGCATCAGTATTTTGTAAAATGATCCTGTAATGGTTTAAACATGAAGTCAGGCTTGTGAACACCTTCTCAAGGGGAGGGTAATACTGCACGGAAGGGGGAGGAGATGTCTGAATTACAGGTGCTGCCCAGAAGTAGGAAGTCCTGGTAATAGAACAAAAGGTAGGTACCCGGGCAACGGGGAACATGGCTTTTACCATAATTTAGAAAGAAACATGGAGCACCAGCTCACAAGATGCACTGAGGTAGCTCTGCGTTTGGCTTAGACATTGAGCTCTGCTTTCATTTTCATCACAGAATGCTACCCTTGACACTTAGTTGTGTTCACCCAATACATGTGCTCATGTACAAACAATTGGTGCGCCACTGTTGACACAAATAGGCTTGTAAGATTTATTTTGTTTTGTTTTTTTTGTTTGTTTGTTTGTTTTTGTTTTTTTTTTGGTTTTTCTCCGGTACCAGGAACCAAACTCATGACCTTGCGCTTGCCAGGCAGGCGCTTTGCCGCTGAGCTAAACCCCCAGCCCCAGGCTTGTAAGATTTATATTATCCGATTCTATCAAATGCCCTGCTGAGACAATTTAGCATGAACTGATCTCTTTCCTCCATCCATTCCTTCATATATGCATCCTAGGCTCATTCTTTTATCATCTCCAATGCTTAGAAAAATATACACTCAGGCTTCACTGATTGAACCTCTCAAACCTACTTCCATTAAATTATGTTCTCTTTGGTCAGCATCGGAAACCCAGAGATGAACAATACTCTGAATTCCTATTTCACAGCCAGTGACAGTCATGGCCATTCAGTGTTACTGAAGGTTCCTTAGGTCACAAAATGAATGAATGAAAGAACTCATTGAATTCATTCAAAATTCCATTTTGGGGTCAGGAGCTGTGTGAACATGAGGAAGTTAATTTTACCTCAGTTTATTATCCATAAAGGAGGTTAAGTTTTTGGGAGGATTTGCAGCTGATGTGTAAGCTACCTGGCCCTGTGACTAAGGTATGATTTTTTCTGTATGAAATTTATAAAAGATGACACAGGAGAACACTTATTTCACTATAACTTGGTACTTAAAACCTTCGAAAATTGAATTCAGGAATAACCTAGAAATCACTACAATGCAATCGGACCTTCAAAGCTGTAATAGATTTTGGTTAAATGCTCAGGAGCTAAAAAATTACAGAAAAAAATTCAACAACTTACCTTTCCATTTCTTGTAGAATGGTTCTGATGTCTTTTCCCAGTTTAAACTTTTTCCCAAATGGAATGTCAGAAATAATAATATCAACACTTTCTGAAGGCAGTGGCAATTCTAAAATACAGAAATCAGAGAATCCTATTACAGTAAGGTCAAATATTTACAACCTAAGTACAGAGAAAATTGAGGTATATGGAATTATCTTTGCATATTAAATAAAATTTAGGGTTACTTGTATTATTTCTATGACATTATAAGATCTGAAATGCTTTCAGAATCACTAAAGATAAATGGCACAATAATTATATTCTGTCCTTTGAAAAATGTTTTTTTTCAGGTATGGTAAAATATGACACAAGTTAACAAAATTTTAAATTACCCAGAAAACTTAATACTCTGAATATATTACAGGCATAGAGTTGTCAGATCCAGGAGGAAATGAATTGTCTAGAAAAACTTTTTACAAAATTACATTCTGAAATGTTCAAATAATTACATATAAAATTTTGCTTGTTCGATTTACTTGCTTTTTAAGAAGATCCAAAGCTATCTCTGTATATTTAAAGGGAACTCAAAAGGTGAAGAATGTCTTCAGAAGTCCTAAAACTACACAGTCAATAATCAACACAATAAGTATTATCACTGAACAAAATTAAATATAGATATGATTATTAAATCTAAATTTTCTTCTGAACATTTTCTTCTCAGAAATCCCCATAGGCTACTAATACACCCACATTATTTGAGTGTGCCTTCTACTTCCTGCTTCTTTTACTTCCAACACATTATCTAAATTAAGTTAGATATTTATATGGTACAGGTCTCAGTTTTCTTGAGACAGGATCTCACTATGTGTCCCAGCCTGGCTTCAAGCTTGGAATTCTCCTGCCTCTGCCTCCTGCGTGCTGGGATTATAGGCACGAGCCACCATGCCTAGCTCACTTCGTATTCTGAGTAGTATCTAATTCTATAAAACACAATAATGTTTGAATAATCTTTATAAATATCATATGAAATTTGTTGGCTGGAAATTTACAAACAACAACAAAAAAATCCTGTAAGCTGGGAAAGTCCAGTGACCCCTTCTACTTCTTTCCTCATTTTAATCTTTATGTGAGGTTAGCATAACAGTACGCTGTTAGAAAAAAAGTAACAGGAGGATATTCTTTTAAACCTAGGCAGGAATTCTTTTTAGTATATATCATTTGTTTGTTTGTTTGTTTTACAGTGCTGTAGGTTGAACTCTGCTTCATGCTTTCTAGGTAAGTACTCAATACTGGCCTACAGCCCACCCAAGTTATATTTCAACTTCAGACACCTGCTTTTAGGCTGTTCATGTAGGACACACCCACGTAAGCACAATTTCTACACTTTTTGCAAAAGCACTAAGGACAATAGACAGTGAAGAAATTATAGTTATCAAGTTTTTTTTATTTGAGGGACCACAGAGTTATTTATTTGATTTTTTTCTAATCCCAAATCTTTCTTTTGCCTTATATCACACACACACACAGAATTGCCACTCATGAATTAGTTGTCCATTCGTCCAGATGTGGAAACATTTCTTTTCCTTCGGTCTATTACCTATTTGACCTCCAACTTTATCCTACAATTTTCAATATTGCTTTATGACTTTAGAAGTTGAAGGAACAACATTCACATAGGTAGAAAAGGCTTCCTTGTAAAGTTCCAAACAAAGCAGTGCCACTTTCCAAGTGCGTGTAGAATAATCTTTTGGTGATGTGGCGTGGGGCACACGGGCTGCAGCGCCTGACCGCCGTCCTGTGGCTTGGTTACTAGCTGTCGGGCTCTAGGAGGCTCCTGCTGCCCGTGCAGTGGAACAGGAGCACCCACTTCCGAAGTTAATAGATGAAATAACACACGGGAAACACGTAGAACAGTGCCTGCCTGGCGCATGGGGAGCACTCAATGACTGCTAGCTGCTTTATGGTTATGATCTACAGTGTCATCCACGACATCTAGAGGAGGTGACAGTGAGATGGAAACCCAGGGGCCAGAACTCCTTAAAGAGCACTGCAGAGCCCTGTATCTCCTTTCCGCTCCTGCTACGTCCCTGAAGACCGAGGCAGGGCAACCGCTTCTAGGTGAGCCGCTTCTCTCCTGAGCAGTGGTTCTCGAAGTGGGCCGCAGGCCGGCACGCAGCCTCAATCCCAAGGAACTGGGATTGAGGGCATATGAGAAGCAATCAGAAGCTGCTGCAAAATGCTGACTGCTGGCCCTACTTCTAGAGTTTCTGATGCAGAAACTCCTAAAATTGTGAGCACTTGACCCATAAGAGTCAACACATGGTAAAACCTTATAAATTATTAATTGCTTTGAATTGCCTGCCAACAATTTGCTTGTAGTTGAGGAGATAAGATTCTGAAATAGAACAGAGCAAAACAAACAAGTAGAAACCATTCATCTTTCTGCATCTTTGCAGTCCTTTAAAAATTTATTTTTAAATTTAAAAATATTTAGTTTAAAAATGCTGGTTGTTTTGAGTAAAATGACTACCCTATTTTTCCTGTCTCCCAGTAGAACAATGGGTAAAAATTGCATAAAGTTCAGATTTATGGGCCCAGGACTTCTTCCCACAGATTTGAAGGGCTTTTAAGATATTCTTCTGTGCACATACTTGAAAACAGACTAAGCTGAAGACTTTCTAATTTTCTTTTTGATACAAGGTCTTTCTATGTAGCCCATGCCAGCCTTGAATCTGCTGTGTAGCTAGGCTAGGCTTAAACCTGTGATCCTCCTACCTCAACCTCCTGACTGCATTTTTGTCACGCCTGCCTTCAGTCGAAGGACGGATGGAGGACTTCTGAGGAACTGGGCACAACCTTCTACCTATTTTCTTTCCTTACACTTTGTTTGTTATTCTTTTCAGTGTCCAGGTTTTTAATAATCACATCCTGTAATTCTGATAGTTGTTCAGAATTAATTCTACATTTAAATTAATTCAATCCTCATCACCAATCATTTTGCCTTGATTTCCTTTGTATTTTTTTTTTTTCATCATAGAAAGATGAGCAGGTGGCTCATCTCGTAAATGTCTGGATTTCATTAAAAACTCTGCCCCCCATGGGCTTTTAGTAAACTGTTACATGAACATTTCCATATTTGAAATATCTGTATAAAAATAATATTTTTGCTTGGGCATAATACTTCTTAGGCATACACAGCTTCAATAACTGTGTAAATACAATCTCAAATCTTGTAAATAAACATTATTCTACTGGCTAAACTCTTTCCATTGTAGACAAATTAAAATTTGAAGTTTATTGCATTAATTATCTTTCCCTTAGTTGCTGCTGGTAGATTTTTTTTTTTTTACCTTTTTTTCCCCTTGTTTAAATAAGTGCAGAAGGGTGCAAATCTTTCCTTGAAATTTTCATCTGCCATTCTAACCCAGAGCTCTGTAATAGTCTTAAGCACACAAAATGTAGCTTGCCATCTGGACTGGGTCACTATCTAATTTATAGTCCAATCAAGAACACTGCTGAGAATGAAATGCTAGAGATAAAATTGAAATACTTATCCTCCAAACTGGCTTATTATGGCGGACCTAAAACTATCTCTTTTTTCTTGCCCTTTATTTTCTTTTCATTTTTCTGAGCACACAGGGCGCCAGTGGTGCTTTATTTTTTCTTTTCCACATCTTGTTCTGCAGCTTCTTTGACCAGTGAGCCAGAGGCTGCTTCAGGCCACGAGAAGACTCGCAAACCGCTTGAGTTCTCCTCCTTCTCCTCCATGGTGATTCTGGCTTCCCACCCTCCGGACTTTCTGGGTGGGCACACCTGGTTGTGGCAGCCTGGCAGCCAATCTGAGCTCTCAGTGGACCTGTCTTGCTTCTTGGGGGCAAGGATGCACAGATCCCTACCCTTTCCTCCCAAGCTGCACGCTGCTTTGTTCTACCCGCTTAACTCCACACAGACGCCCATGTGCTCGGCCCCTTCCTGTGTGTGCCAGCCAGCTGCCCCTAATTCTTCCAGCTACAATATCTGCCAGCTTGGACTTAGTGTGACACCTTGCTATGGAGCACCTCACTGGGGGACGGATGGGTCCGGGCGCAGGGCAAGGGGGATTTAACAGAGTTTTGCTTGCCAGGCCTTACGGCTGCGGATCTCCAGGCCCCTGGTTGAGCCCTGCCAGGCCTGGTGGAAGTGGGGACTCAGGATCACACATCTCGGGCGGGTGGTGTAGCTGCCTCCTCCATGGGAGAAGGACTACTGGTATTTTTTTCAAATCAAACTTTTAAAACATTTTAACATTAAAAGTAATAAGCAAAATAATATTTGTGTATGTGTTCACATACTGACCAGCTTCTTAGATGTAAAAGTGTCTAATCCCATGTCATTACTGGTATTTTTCAGAAGAATAGAATAAGCAGGTGCTGTCACTAAGCTACACCCCCAGCCCAATATTTTTAAAAATAAAGACGTTACAATCTTTTTTTAAACTGATATTCAAAGTTCCCTTTGCATGTTTAAAAAAAGTTCCCTTAACTACATATTTTGAGAAAATATTTCTCCTACAGAACACAGCAAACTCTGCTAAGAGAAGATACTCTCAGTTCTTCTCAACTCTATTTCTTTCATTTGGAAGCTGTAAATATTTCAGCTCTCCAGTTCGTAGTTTTTCCAGAGTGTCTTTGACACATACCTTCACAACACAAAATGCAAATAAGTTGTCTCTATTCTTTTGTTTTTCCAAATTTAGATGCTGAAAAGTTAAGGGCTTCTCCATTTCATTCCATTCTATCAGCTTTGATTTTTTTTTTTTTTTTTTTGGTACCGGGACTTGAACTCAGGACCTTGCACTTGCTACAGGCGCTTATGCCACTGAGCTATATCCCTGGCCCTTCATTCCACTGTAGAACACACGTCCAATTAATATGAAGAAAGTGATCCGAAGATCACTGTTATAAGATGCCCAAATATATCACAAACTTTCAGAATTAGATACTGTGCATCACTGATCTTGCTGTAGTTTGTTCATGTCTTCCTCAGTGTTTGGAGGATGGATCGCAATAGCTTCCTAGTGTCAACTTTGTTTTTAGTAACTGCAATTTGCCAAAAAATTCAAAAGCCAAAGTTTTCTGGCATTCCACGTATTGAATCCTTTGATATACAACAGATTTGGAATAAGATGGAACCCAAATTATGCAAATTGTGTCTATTTAGAAATACTGTAGAGCACTAGGCTCCCCTAGTCTATGTTGTGAAGTTCTTCAATGGCTTAAACTTTTAACCCAAACTGATGATGGTGAACAAAGAAAGTTCACTGCATGCTGCAGTACAGCTCTGCATTTAAGCATCTTCATCACAAATAGCTTGCAGCTGGGGCTGGGGATACAGCTCGGTGGCATAAGTGCCTGCCTGGCAAGCGCAAGGTTGTGAGTTCAGTTTCCGGTACAGGGAAAAAACCAAACCAAACCAAACCAAAACAAAACAAAGCAAATAGCTTGCAGCTCAGTTACTTGGTATATATTTAAAAAATAAAAAAGCTGATTGTTCTGTCAATTTAGGTTTCTATTTCAACTGCTGCAGCCTGTTTGGAGATAACTGTGAGTTATACAGGTACCATGTTAAATTCCAGGTGTGTTTCTGCTTCATGGATTTTAGTAAGAATATTAATTTTTTATCACATTATAGCCTGCTGAATTAATACATAGCAGCAATGTGGACTACTGAACTAAACTTCAAACAGCACTCACAGATGTTTCATCTTTCACAGGTAAAAAAATTCTCCTAAATTTCTAAGAATTCAGACGAAAAAATGCGAAAATTGGAAGTAACTCAATTTTCTTTCTGAAGCAACTGATAAATTTGATATAAAACTGGCAGTATTTAACTATTAACCCAAGTCTTCTAATGGAGCCAACATATCAATAGCCATGGCTCCATTTTCTTTAGGTACATGAGAAAACTTGGAGTTGAAAATGAGCAAAATTAATTTAGAAAAAGAGCTATTTAATCTAATTGAAAAGTCATGCTCCATAGAGTGATATTTAAATGCATCTTCTTTGGTTTCATGCGATACATAGCTGGTTTGGGCCAAGCATCCTTAAAGTAACTACCAAGATTTGAAGAGAACAGAGTAGTCAGTGAGGTTTTGAAGTAGATGCGTTTCATTTGGTCAGGGCATCACCAGGGCCCTCACAGTAGATGGTGAAGGTCAGCAGGTGTTTTACCCAGGCCATGCGCTTATCATTAGCTTTCTTGAGAAATGAAACCTTGGTCCTTACTATGGCATTAAAAATGCACTTTATGGGGCTGGGGATTTAGCTCAGCGGCACAGAGCCTGCCTGGCAAGCGCAACGTTGTGAGTTCGATTCCCGGTACTGGAAACAAACAAACAAACAAACAAACAAAAATGCACTTTAAAAGACTTATTGTTGCTGAAAGAGGTTATGACTAATAAAGTGTTACTAAACAACAACAAAAAACGATACCCCACAATCACATACAATGCACTTTAAAAGCTGCCATATGATAAGGGAGAAAGGCTTCGCAGCGAGGGCAGGAAAACCCCTCCATAGCGAGCTTCTCGTCCCGCCCCCTACGCAGTCTGCATGCACACCTATACACCGCGTTCCACACGGCCTCGCACGGCCCAGGCCGGCAGCCTGGCAGCCTCACGAACCTCGCAGGTGGGCACGCCCATCACACACCCTGCTGCAAGCACAGGGGCCAAGCAGGCAGGGCGGGGCAGGCGTGAGAGGGAGTGACAGCTGTGAGAGGAAAACGCAACCACCCCAGTATGGGGCACTTATGGATGTCCTGCAAAAGCAGTCCTACTCCTAGAAGGGCGTCAATAGATGACACCTGAGAACAAAGCACAGGTGCTGCCAGTAATCTTGGTATCACCCAAGCAATGTCTGGCACAGGCTGGAGAATATAACGGAGCAGTGATAACATTTTCTTTTACTTATTTAAATGCTTTTAGCATTACGTTAAATCATAAACGTGTTTCTCTTGCTCAGATCTGTATGTTACAGCTTCTATCCTGTACTAAGAATATAAATATATTTGTACATTAAAAAAAAAAGCCTAGGAGCTGGGGATTTAGCTCAGCGGCAAAGGGCCTGCCTGGCAAGCGCAAGGTCATGAGTTTGGTTCCCGGTACCGGAGAAAAACAAAAAAAAAAAAAAAAAAAAGCCTAACCAGTGACTGTTATTTCCTAAGATAATATAGCTTGTAACAGGATATTCATTTGATTCCAAATTTTCAGGATGATTAAAACTCAGGAATAAATACATGCAATTTCTGTATGCTAAATGATCATCTATTTTTACATGAGTAGAGGCTTATAAAACAAAGTGAACATACTAAAAAAGTGGAAAAAAGTATAAAAGCACAATTAAGACTGTGATGATATTATAGAAATGTAAGTCATGATGAGGGTATTACTAAATTAGTAGAAACATCCAGACTTAATAGGGATCTTTAATTCATGATCTCTCTTAGGTACTTTACTTCATGTGTTATATAATAAACACTCATCAAAGCTTCATGAAATAGGTACTATCTTTATCTTATCAATTAAAAGCATACGAGAGACTCAGTTTTTTTACTGAAGGCCAAGGAATAATGGTAAAGCCAGAATTTATACTTGGTCTGTAGGAATCTGAAGTCCAGGCAGGTGCTTAATTGCTGTAGCAAAAAGGTATGAAATGCCGAAATTGAGAATGGTGAAGGGGATTCACAGGTTTCAGCATTATAAATTGCATTTATGATTAGAGCTGTGAAAGGTAAGACCGAGTTAATGAAAAAACTGAATACTGTAGCTAGAATGTCAGATATGCAACAAAGGGTGAAACATGGTACTTAAAACTAACTCTAATTTCTACCTTTGAAAAATTCCTGCTTGGCTGGGGATGTAGCCCAGTGGTATAGCACTTGCCTAGTATGCACAAGGTCCTGGGTGTAATGTCTAGAACTGCAGTTGCTCGATCAATCAATCAATCAATCAATAGGTAATTGAATTAAAAAATAAACGAGCCATCTCTGTTTCTTCCCTTTCTCTCACGAATCCCAGGCAGAACTTGCTCCTTCTGCTCCACGGAAGCAGCCCTTGGCTTGTGCAATCACCGGACCTCAGTCTACTTCCCAACTGGCAGTAGGCTGCACAACTCTCTCCCTCAGGTGCTCTCTCAGTCACTAGCTGTTCCTTGACTCCATGCTCACCTTCCGGGACTCTTACGCATGTGGATGTGCTCCAGGGATCAGTCCTACCTCCCTCTGCTGTTTATACTCCCCAGGTAAGCTCAGGAATTTAAATGTTCCTGCTACTGTTGATACCTACCCTCACCCCCCAAACTCCAGATTTGCCCCTTTTGTTTTATGCACAAACCCCTATCAAAAACATTGTTAGTGGGGCAGGGAGATAGCTCAGTGAAACAGTGCCTTCCTGGCAGGTGTGAGGTTGTGGGTTCAACTCCCGGTACCAAAAAAATAAAAAAAAATAAAAATCTTCTTAGGTTAGAAACGTAGTCACTGGCTGCAAATAACTATGAAATCTCAATTAATCACAGACATTTGAGGGGTACTTTATTATCTATATTATTTTATATGGATGTTACCTTAATATTTTCTTCTGTTGATGCTCATTTTTATTATTTTTCTATAATAAAAGATGTAAACAGTATTTTTGTTTATCCTGATCATAGATTTGATACCTATTTACTGCCAAGAAAATAAAATTTCCTTAGCTGGAAATGAAATGTGCTAATATTCCTAAGGGAGAGAGGTGTATTGTGGGAATATCAGAGAAACAAGAAGCCTTCTCTAAGATAGGCTTCTCTAAGGCTTCTTTAAGACAGAAACGACTGCAAAGCTTCTCTTACAGGCCCGGCATGGGGGTGCATGCCTATAATCCCAGCACTCGGGAGCCTGAGGCAGGAGTCTCACTGTGAGTTTAACACCAGCCTGGGCTACAGAGTGAGTTTAAGGCCAGCCTGAACTGCACAGTGAGACCTTGTTTCAAAAGGACAAAAAAAAAGTCTAAAAATTATGGACAATAAGGGAATGTTATTTTAACTGGGGTTTATAGACTCGATTCTTAGTCACGTGTGCCACTGCTGGTTCCCACTCAGTAAACAGGGGTCAGTGGTTTCCCTCTACCTTACAGGTGACCAACGGTCCCTCTTGCCCCAGACCTTGTGGACTTCTGAAAGTACTGCTTTAGGAACGGGGGCAGATGGTTACTTCACTCCTGTGTGTATCAGGGACACTGCCCAACGTGGGGCAGGAGGACGGTAAGGGGAGTCAGAACATTTCATGGAGTTTATCTGAAATAAATCCAAATCATTATTATTGTATGGTTCTCTTTATCTTATGCTTATATTATGTGATCCCTGCTTATGAAACGAGAAGTGATTCAGAGACAACAAACACCACTTAAAGTGGCGTGTTGAACTTAAATGCTACTGGAAAACTATATGAATGTTGCTCCCTGATTTTGAAAAATAAAGTTATAAATTGGAAGTATTAGTCCCACACATACAGTGCAGGGCATAAACAACTAAACCTCCACGTGTAGAGAGTGATTCTTGGCTTCTGTTCTTACCTGTGACAGAGGCTTTAAGCAACTCAATTTTATCACAAAGGCCTGCGGCTTTCAGATTGTCCCACGCACCAAGTAACTGCGAGTTGCTGGCATCGGCACCCACGTAATACCCGTCCTAAGGAGGAAGAGGTTGTGTTTTCAGTAGAAATAAAACCACTGGGTATCTCAGTGACTAGCAAAGTCTACTTGTATCTTCTCAAATGGTGAAAATTAACAGATTTTTAAATTCAAACAAAACCAATTTACAGGCATGCTTTAAAATATCTAATAGCAAAATCTGTTAATATCTGTTAATATTTTATAATTAAAAATGCCTAAGGAATTTGGGGATTAGTATAGCTAGGTCATGACTAATTACTGGGAATTTTGTCAAATTTTCCTAAAATTTTCACAGCAAAAAAACCCAGCAGTCCAATTAATCCCTTTAATCTATTTTAATGATGGTGAATAGTAATTTATAACATTAAAAATAATAATCCCATTATTGGTAAGCGGATATATGTATACATACATCCACATGTATATACTGATTAATATATATATGTATGTACTGATTATATATATGTATATATACTGGTTAAAATAAATTTATTGCTTAGTTTACACCAAATTTTACCACTTACTGGCCATTCTTTAGCAGCTTCCAAAAGTATTGTTCCAAGTCCACACATTGGATCTAAAACAAATGTACCAACCTATAGATAGAAACATGAATTTTTATTGTTAGAAAAACGTTAAGCCATAGAAAAAACTTAAACTTAGAGGAATCAATATTTTAAGAGCAAAAATTCCTTTTTATACTTCAGTAGTACTTTGAGATAATGGCATGGATATGTCTGACATGTTTACAGACAGGAGGGAAATCCATGTGGCCAAAACACAGCGAGAGGGCAAAGGTGGTAGTGACATGGGAGAGGAAGCCGGGGGACACCGTCCAGATCGGCTGAGGTACACATAAGCATGGATCTTAGAGGTCAAAAACAACATGTGCCTCTTCCTGCGTGGCCACAGGAGGGCCCTTGGGTTTTCTGCTGCTCACCCAGGAACCCAGGCTGATGAATCAGGCACTGTCCAGAGTGCAGCCATTACCGTGGCTCAGGCAGAGAAAGCACGACAAATCACACACTGCTCTGGAAGGTGCCACCTGGAAGTGACTCATCCCTTCTAAAAGCATTTAGCTGCCCAGAGCATGTCAGTCACCTGGTTTATGCAATTTCAAGGATCCAGGAAAGTATGTTTAATTCTACATATATTTGGAAGGGGAATAGAAATTTGGAGGAAAAAAACAATTACTCCCACTCTGGGGAATCACACCATGTCACATCCTGACAGTAGCCAGGTGTAGTGGCACACGCCTATAGTCCTGATACTCAGAAGTCTGAGGCAGAAAGATCAGCATGAGTCTGAGGCCAGCCTGGGACTAAATAGTGAGTTCAAGGCCAGCCTGAGCTACATGGTGAGACCCTGTCTCAAAAAACAAAACAAACATCTCCTATGGCTCTATTCTGATGGATGGGCAACTACTGGATGGGCTGCACAAAGGAGTCACATGACATCACATTTTGAGGGGACCACGATGGCACAGACCAAAGAGAGGTCTGAGTGTTAACAGGGGGGCTGCCTTAGGAAGTCCAAGCAGGGGATGATGGTGGTTTGAATTAAGGGAGGTACTGGTGGAAGTGCTTGGAGTCTGGATTTGTTTTTAAAAGGTGGAGCCAAGAGGAAGAACTGGATGTGAGGTATTAAAGACAGGTTGTCAGGAATGGCTCAGGTTTTCTACTCAAGCAATGGGAAGAAATACCTGTCACTGAGATGGAAGGAAAAAATCTTGAAAGGAATCTGTGTATATTTCTGGAAATGTTAATTTTGAGATACTTCTCAGACTTCCAAGCATCAATATCGAATGAGCCACTGGATATATGGATCTAGAGCCCAAGGGTTCAAGGTTCACGCAACAGACATAAGTTTTGGAGAAAACGGCGTTAGATTTGCAAAGGGTATTTAAAGCATCAGAACTAGAAGAGATCACATAGGAAGCAAGAGATGTTTAAAAAGGGCGGTCCATGGACAGCTCTGGTGGTTTCCTAAGTACAGATGTTTGGAAGATGAAGATCCAGAAATTCACACCAAAAAGCAGCACATACGATGCAGAAGGAAAACCTGGAGTGCAGGTTCTGAAAAAGGCTGGGAAAAAAATACTGTTTCAAGGAGGGTGGTGATGGTGTCACAGTGCTACTGAGAGAGACAAGCAGAGTCAGCGGAGCACTGACAAAGCCTGATGAAGTGGGTGCAGGAGAGACTGGGAAGAAAGGAAGACAAGACAGCAAATATGGTAATTATCTTAAAGGTTTTTCTTATTTATTACATGGAGAGAAAGGGAATGGCAGCTGAAGGGACAGACAGGTCCGCGACAGGGCTTGTGTTCCTTCACTGAACAAGACACTGTGGCAGGTGTACATGCTGATGCTGTCGACCCAGCAGAGAAAACATCCTTAAGTATGCGGCAGGAAATGGAACCCAGGGCCCAAGTCCTGGAGTGGAATAGGCGGTTTGCTGCTATGGTGACCACGAGGCAGAATATGAGGGTGCAGATTCTGACATAGTGGTGGGTTTGGCAAGGAGAGCATGCCAGAGTTTTCTTCTGATTCTATTATTTAGGTCAAGTAAGAAGGAAAAGAGTTAGTAACAGAGCATAACACCCAAGCTGTGCGGCTGGGCTGAGAACAGGTGGTGCGAATAAACAGTAGGCCAAGCGACTAGACGGGCCCGGAGAACTGTGTGAGGGAACAAGAAGAAGAAATGGCAAAGAGGAAGTGATAGGGGAAGAGAGACTCCATTTTCTTTTTTTAACTCCATATTAAGGGAGTCACTTAAGTCCAGGTGAGTTGCAGTTGACCCCACTCTTCACTCCCTCCCCTTGGCTAGTTATCAATGCCCCCCCTCCTCGCTAAAGGAGAGCAGAGTCATAAAATAGGAACAGAACAAACAGGACAAATTAGGAAGTCGGCTAAAAGTTCGACTGCAATGGTCATCTGGAATCCGGCTGTCCAACAGGTTCTGGGAGAAGTAAACTTTGTGATAATTGTGTGACACTCTTGTAAGATTCCCCAAAATGAAGTAGTGGTTACGGTGAGACCCTGATTGGGGTGGGCATCTTCTCTGGCTCCTGGTTGGAGGCTGCCAGCCGGTTCAATAAAACTTTGTTTATTCCTGCCTTTTCGGTTTTCTTGTGAGTGTCTGTCTCATTGAACTCACTTGCTGTACCAAAAGCAGTTTAGAATTGTTTGTTTTGAGATGGCATCTCACTATGTTGTCCAAGTGGCCTCAAACTCCTGGTCTCTGCCTTAGCCTCCTGAGACTAGAGGTGGTACATCATTATGTCTGGCTAAGAACAGGAGTCTGGAAACAGAAATATGGAAGGGACACCCTTCTGGGTATGGCAAGATCTAGGATGTGCCTGGATCAAATCATGAGGGGTAGGGAAGCCGAAAAAGCAAAAGGCAGGTTATTGAGTGGCTATGAAGACCATAATGAATTATGGGGTTGGGAATGTAGCTCAGTAGTAGAGCACTTGCCTTGCATGCAGGAGGCCCTGGGTTTGATCCCATCTCCACACACACACAAATTGTGACAGGAATTAGGGCCCACGCTCTAACTGTACATGACTGGCATAATCCAAGGACATGTATTCAAGGGCACTGAGGTTCTCGGCAGAAGAGATGAACTGATCATTCTGATGGTCAGGGAAGAGCAAGCAGGACCTATCCCATCTTCAGGCCCAGTGGTACTTGGGTGTGGGAGAAAAATCATCCATCCCTTGAGATGTCTACTGAGGAAGCAGGGCCTCAGCGGACAGCCAGGTATTAGTCACAGTCAGAGGGCACCTAATGAAAAGAAGAAACATGTTCTTCAGGACACAGAAACTTCTCCCGGCACCACATGCTAGGGATCCTAGAATGTAGATCCTCCATGACTGGGAAATGAGCAACAAAATGCAGAATTAAATGGCAATTTTGTTTAAAATTTGTGACAGTCTGAAAACTCACTTAATAAAGATCTTAAAATGTGCCAACTATTGCATTCTTCCTCCTCTTAAGTTCAGTGAAGTGATCTGACCTTAAATATCTTTCTTCGACCTTAGGATCTCTTCCAGTCGTGACATGTGCAGACCCACAACACCTCCCAGTAGGGGAGAGGAACTGCTGCATGCGCATAACAGCAACTACGATGCACAGAGCTTGAGTTTCCTTGCATACGGTACGTGGAGAGGAGAAAGTCTTACAGAAAACATCAAAAACATCTGCTAGCTCCATTTTAAAATTTAATTGTTAGTAGCACGGGCCTCCCCAGTGTTGAGCTGTCTGAACACCGCTCTGGGTATTAAACTCCAGAAGACACTGGGCTCTCACAGCTGGAATCAGGATCTTCCATCAGGGGGATCAAGTCCTTCCCTGCTATGTCTCACACGCTTTCCTGGACCTCCTTTGTCGCTGGCCACATTTGGAGAGACATTTCTGACTCTTGGAATACGGAGGGCAAACTGGCAGTAAGGAAAACTTTCCTCAAGTATTACCTCTAAATACTTTTAATTATGCACTTTTTATTTTACTGAAACTTGTACACTTATATCAAGACAAAGGTCACATTTCAAATATGCAGGTGGTTTATAAATTTATATTCAAAGACAGACTACTGAAGCCCCTGGCAGTTTGGCAAAGAATAAACTGTAATCACACCTCTTCCCGTGTACTGAAAGCAATTTGGAGTAAAGATTTAAATGAAATATGGAAAGGCATGAGTTCTGGGCACACAGTCATCTGAATATAACTCTTCCCTTGATGTCCAGCTCCGAGCTATTTACTTCTGCTGAGTCGAGTGATACTCAGACCTACAGGCAGCGGTGCTAAGAGAAGCCTTTGGGTCTGCTGGGTCTCAGAAGAAGGATCTGGGGTGGGGCCTCCCTGCCATGGGTTGGATGGGTGACTGGAGAACAGCGCTGGAGCCCAGCAGGCAGAGCCAACAGGACCAGGGAAGCTCTTGGTCTTCAGAGACCTGTGGGCCTGGAGGCGGACAGCGAATAGACACATTTCCCGCCATCTCAGCAGGGCTGCCGGATTCTCCTGACACTGCAGAGCCTGCGGGGCCAGAGGTCCTCTTCCCTTCTCCTCTTTACAGGATTCCAGGCATTTGAAAATACTTTAACAGCTACGCTTGGGACCTAGGGAGCCAACAAAGAAAAATAATGGCACATCTAAGGGGGAAGGGGTCTCTTCCTACAGAAGCAGCTAGTGACTATCGGGAGGGGCAGATAAAGACTCGAAGGAAGGAAGAGCTTTTAGATCCCCAAATGTTACTGTGCACTTTTCTGAAGCTGGAAAGCATGGTTTTTAAACTGCAAAAACCAATAAATGAATTGAAGTAGAGCATATCTCAGGGACTCCTGTTGTAAGCGGGATGATAGTGTTTGAGAATAACTCAAGAAGCGGGGCCAAAGTACAGGGATGAAACCATGTGAGAAAGAATAAGAGGCTTGGAGGAAGCTTAATGTGCTTAAAAGGAACTGCAGAAGTAAAAAGAAGTAAGAGGCATTTAAAGTTAAATTGGCTAAACAATTAAAGCAATAATGACTAAATAAATAATAGAAAAGAGTGCCCAGCTGGAGAAATAATAATGATTAATAATAATTATAATAAATAACAATGAATAATTATGTGCTGCATATAATTATTACAGCTGTAATTGTTATTTCCATAGCAGCAACTAATGCATATTTTCTATATGCCTGGTGCTGTTCTAATTGCTTTATAGTGCTAACTCACTTACTCATGATATCAAACTATGAAATACTATTTTTATTTTGAAATGAGAAACTGAGGGCCGGGGATACAGCTCAGTGGCATAAGCACCTGCCTGGCAAGTGCAAGGTCCTGAGTTCGATTCCTGATACCAAAAATAAAAAAATAAAAATAAAAGAGAAATTGAGGCACAGACTCGTTACATATCCTGCCCAAACCTTCCCAGACAGTAAATAATGGAGCTGCAATGAGAACTGAGGCAGTCAGACTCAGGAAGCTGTGGGCTGAATAGAAAAGATACATATGTAAGGAGATTCTGGTAGTATTCTTGAATGTTAAGATTAAGGAGCAAACTCTTTCCACCTTCCAAGCGAAAAGAACAAAGTATACACAAAGGAATAGAAAAATCACACTGACGTGGCTTGATCATCTACAATATCATTGGTTAAAGGACAATGGATCAGTATCTACAGGTAGAAGGGCTGCATTTCAGGAATATTCTATCCAGTCAAATAGACACACCCAGGAAGAAAGGGAGAAGTCCAGATAGAAGAGAATTCAGATGGTATCTTATTCAAACACTCCATGTGAGAAAACACCCCAGAAAAGACTTTAACCATGCAAGAAATAAATTCAAGTGGAGGCCTCAAGTGGGGAAAAGAAGACGAAGTGAAGGACACAGATGATAAGGAGCAAATGATAAGGTCTCCTTGTAGGGAGTAAACACAAAAGACTTGGCTGAAAGTCTCACCTCACCTGAAGAAGGGGAAGTTGAAGAAAGTGAGTGTTTTGGTGGTAAAACAGACAAAAAAACAAGTGTGTCTTTGTAGAGGAAATAGTTGAGGTCCCGTTTTACAGTAACTAGAGTTGGATATGTTTAAGGAAACTGGGAAAAGAAATTTATGGGCTAGAACAGTGAAGTAAGGTCCCCACCACGAGGGAGAACAATGAGAAGATTAGAAACCACGTAACTTGGTCGTGGGAGCAAATGTTTAAACATTTAAAAAGTACACAGAATTACTTTTGACATTATGAGCAGAGCAATACAGATCCAATAAGTGGAGCTGTCCTACCACTTCTGAGTCCTCTTACTGAAAAACAGAGACTGTAAGATCGGGAAGGATCTTAGTACGTGTGTATTTGTATGAAAATACTTATATTTGAAAATAGTAGCAAATAAATTTTAGAGAGATGCAAACAAAAAGAAAAGAGTAAAAATAACACATGGTGAAATTTGAGTTCAAAGTCAATAATCACGATAAAGACAACTTTATGTAACAATAAAGATATAATTTGCAATGAAGCAGTAATGTGCATATGTATCAAACTGGGCAGAAGTTGAATAATGCAGTAACTAATAAAAAATCTTAATTAAAAATATAATAACTGATTTTAAAGGATCCTTTAGAATGGAGTAAATAAGGTAAATATAATAGAATATTGTAAATTAGAAAATAAGCTTTTCATATATTCATTGAACATTTAGGAAAATTGATTAAGATCTTGGTTATAGGGAAACACAAATTTTGACATATAAAGGTTTAACAGGCCACTTTTTATATGATGCAAAATAAATTAGGGATAATAAAATGTAGCTAACTTTTTTATTTTAAAGACAAAAAAACAATGATACAGAATTTCAAAAGAAGATAACAGGAGATTAACAATGGTTAATGAAATGTGTGTTGTTATCTTCAAAGTAGTTGCTCAGATTACAGGACACAGGCATGAAAAATTGATCAGACAAGATAAGCACAAATCATTCTTTTTGATGAACTAATAGAAATCGGTAGTATGATTATCTTAGCTATCTTGTGTGTATGTGTGTATATATGTATTTTTTTCTTTTCCCATCCTTCTTTTTTCCTTTTCCCCATCTCAGTTTCTCTGTCCTTTTGAGCAGTTTCTTCCTCTTTCACAAAATCTATTGTACATCTTGGATCTTATTTATTCTTTCTGTTTCTTACAATAGGGAGACAATATGATATTAACACATGTAACTCTGACTGATTTTACTTAGGAGTATGGTCTCAAGTTGCATCCATTTACTATAAGCATTGAGTTTATCCTTCTCTGTGGCTGAACAGTACTCCATTGTATAAAAATACCAAATCTTTTTATCCATTCCTCTGTTGATGGGCATTTGGGTTGTTTCCAAGATTTAGCTATTATAAATTGTGCTGCTATAAATATGGGTGCACATATATTGCTGTGGTACAGTGTTCTTTATTCATCTGGGAAAATACCCAGAAGGGGAACAGCTGGGTTGAATGGAGCCTCTAGTCCTAGTGTTTTGAGGACCACACTGATTTCCCCAGTGATTATACCAGTCCACACTCCAACAGTGGAGGGAGGTTCTTTTTCCCCACATCCCTGACAGCATTTGTTATTATTTGATCTCTTAATGATAGCCATCAAATGTAGCTAACTTTTAATAGCCTTTTTGTGGCCACATACTCTTAAAAATTTAGCAATACACAAAGATATCGCTTTAGAAATTTTTAATCACTGTAACAGAAAACAAAAGGAAGCAGGCAATAAAGATGTTCATGAGCAAGAGATTGAATAAATTAACTATAAAAGGGCCTTGCTATTAACAAGAATAAAAATATTTTCCTTACCTTAATTTCCGCAAGAGATGCCATCGCCCACGCTACGGTAGACCGGAGTCCAGCTGTCCTAATGTAAGTTCTGCTGGCTAAAGGAACCCTGCAATAAAAGACACTGATCACATGCCAAATACTAGTAGATGGTAACAGGACATAAATAAAAATGATCCATCTATTCATATCTGAGAATCATTTCAACAAATTCATTGGACATATTCTCTAAATTAGAGACATTTTAACCTTATTACAAAATAATTTCTCTAATGGGCACTTAGTCTAATCGGCCAGTGTGGTATTTCAGAGAAAAGTAAGCTTTTTGGACAAATGAAATTTAAACTCTCCTGCCAGGAGGATCACTGCAAGTTCAAGGCTGGCTGAGCTACATAGTCAGTTCCAGGCAAGCCTGAAATACCCAGCAAGACCCTGTCTCAAAAAGACCAAGAAAAAAACATAACCACAAAGGAGGCAAATCTTTTTTAGTTAATTCTTCCCACACAAAATACACCTTCTCTTGCTATCCAGAGTTATCAAAAGGAATGTATCACTTTATGACCTAAATCTAAATCTAGTATAGCTGAATGGATGTTAAACCTCAAATCTGTTTTTTATTGAAAAATTCCTTTTGCTGTGTGCTACACAACTATATTCCCAGCACTCTGGAAGGCTGAGGCAGGAGGATTCCAAGTTGAGTCCAGCTCAGCTAACTTACTTACTTAACAAATTAATTTTTTAGCTATCTATCTTTTTGGAGTAAAAGTATTAAAAAAACGTTCATTGGGGCTGGGGAAGTGGCTCAGTAGCACAGGTCCTGCTTAGCATGTGCAAAGGCCTAGGTTCCACCCCCAGCATCGTCCCACTGTTTAACTACTTTATGAATTCTTTTAAAAATATATTTTACATGTTGCTTATTTTGCTAGTCTTTCCCTACCTTTGCTTTGGCAACCGTCAATAATTATACTGATTTCAACGTGATCATTTTTCATTCCGACCTGTCCTTTCTGTTTGCTATTTTATAAGGCCAAAATACTTAAATTATATCAATCAGTTTTGTGAATCATTTACAGGGGTTAAGGGCTGGGGTTCCAAGAGGCAGTGGATTAGGACAGCCCAGAAACCTTACAGGAGAGCAGGCTAGGTTTGGCCTGGAAGAACCTGTAAGGCACTGGGGCAGGAGGGGGCCAAGGGAAGCCGGCAGGGCACCGGGGCAGAAGGTAACCTCAGGAGTCATAGTCCTTGCTGGTGGAAACGCTCAGGGAGCCCACCATACGACCAGCAGACAGCAGCAACCCATCAGTCAGTGTCCTCAGACTCCTACGAGGTTCTCAGCACTGAGAGTCAACTTCTAGAGCTCACCACTAAGTAAGAGCATTATAATAATTGCAAGCATGTTTTAAAAATCACAATTTAAGACTACAGATGTATAAACAGGAACTGAAGGCAAATACAGTAGCACAGGACTTTCCTGATCTTTGAAACATCCCTTTGCCTAAATCCACCTAGAACACGGGTATGTGAGTTGCTTTCTCATGTAAGCAGAATTCTGAACATGAAATATTTTTAAGATGTTATTAATATTTATAACTCCCAGAGACTGAAAGTCACTATTTTCATTCAACTAGCTCCTTCTAATGTGCCTACTAAAAGTACCTGCTGCATTGTATACACTCAAGAGATTTTTAAAAAAGAAATAAATCATTTCACATATTATTAGTAGTGCTCTGCATGACTAGGGAGGCATATAAAGACGTTAAAAACTAGTGACAACCTCTTACAACAGAAGAAAAATGGCATTAAAATCTAGAGAATGATGAATTTAAAGAACTATGTTACACTTTACACAGACTAAAAACTTTAGCGTAAACATGGGTCTTTGAAAATCATTTCATAATATAGAAATACTTAGATATACTTTTCACGGTTAATCTTGTTATCAGTAGAGGAGTATAAGCAAGCCTTTTACAGCTCTATAAACTCTTAAGCGACAAACTTGAAGCTTAAAATACAATAGTTACCTGAACATAGGAATCCCTGCTACAGTGTAAATGTTATTTAGATGTACAAAGATCTGAAAGAACAAAGAAAGTTAGAAAGGAACAAGAAATTGCATTGCCAAATTACCAACAAATTAAACTTCTACTTTGAGCTTACATGATCTATATTTTAATAAGAAATTAACAACAGCCCAATTTGTCATATCTGGAAAAGTGTTCCATATCTGTTTCCTTAAACAGAGGCAAATTAAACTTCAAGTATATTTCATGGACAAATTCTGAGGTGAATCTCTTATATAAGTTATATGGAGAACCATGCTGCAAAGAACTCAAAATCTTTTTTCTCTGAGATTCTTTAAATTAGCATACCTGGATCAGACTTCTCGGCACTTTTGGTTAGAGAAGACGTCCCAAATCCATCCCAATTTAAACCCCAAGTAATCCTGAAGGTCACACAGGACTAAGATAGGCTAAAAACACCTTCATGGTAACAAGAACCTTTTTTAAGGTCAAATACATGGTAGGAAGCGTATCCTTTTCTTTCTCAACTATCTTTGGGTTAAGTTTCTGCCTCAATTTCCTTTCTGCTCTTAGGAATACAGAGAATTCATATGGCTCAAGTTATTATTAGTAAGCCCCAAGAATTTTAAAAGGTAGAATCTTTCTTACATGTGTAGTATGATATGGCTTAGGGAATATTCTAACTGTCATTTTGAAGAATACTCTAACTGTCATTAACATTTGATCCCCAATACTTTATCTCAAGGATTTTGTTTTATTTTATTTGTGGTACTGGGGACCAGATCTAGGGCCTCACACATGCTAGACATGCACTCAACTACTCAGATACCGCCAGACTCCCAAGGTTATTTTGAATACAAGCAGTTTAATCAGAATATTTTGAAATTGATATTTTCATTAAAAAAAGTATCTGAAGTAACTCCATTTAGACATGTAATTCCTTGATTAAATATCACAGCTGAAGTTTCTAATTTTATACACTACACATTTTAGGAAAATATGGCTTAAGATTTATTAAACTTTATTTATTAAATATTTATTAAGTATCTGAAGTGACTCCATTTAGACACGTAATTCCCTGATTAAACATCATAGCTAAAGTTTCTAATTTTATATACTACACATTTTAGGAAAGTATTTATTAAGATTGTTTTCTATTTATAATTTATACTAGATATGATACACTGACCTTCCTTGCTTTTACATATTCAATGCTATCACAGCTTCTTCCACTATAAATTTTTTCCCATCAGTCTTGCAGAAAATGCCGGAGATGCAGCTCAGTGGCACAGCGCCTGCCCGGCAAGTGCAAGGTCCTAAGCTAGATTCCTAGTAGCAGAAAAAACCCAACACCCCCCAAAAAACATTGCAACAGTTTTGCAGAACAAAATTTGTTAAGATCTGATTCTATCCATTTTTAGTGACAAATTTTATTAGATGTAATTTTATTGTTATCAGCTTTGTTTTATGATTATTTCTACCAAGCATAGCTACTATAAATTGCATTAAATGGCTGGCAGGAACTAAATTTGCTAGTTTTTGAATGAGCTGATCTACGAGAAAATTGTCACTCTAACCATGAGATGGAGGGTGGATGGAGAGACCAGGGAGAAGATAAGAGACCTGGAAAGGTGGCGAGGAGAGAAACTCTAGCATCAACAATATTTAGGGGCCATAATATTTTGCAGGAGAAGTTGCATATATACCAGGTATTACTTTGTTAAAAGGAAAAAAAAAAAAAAAGTATTCTGATTCATTGGGTTCATCAATAGATCCGTGTGATCCATGCAAGTCTATACAACAATGCACAAATTATGAACTAGTAGAATCATAAAAATGACGAGCTATCCACTTTGTAAGAAGGAATTCAAAATAAAGTGAAAAATATTTTTTGCTTCCCCACGTATTGCTTACTACCATGAAAAAATAAACACAATCCCATAACCTTAAGAAAGCCACTATTAACAGTACCAATTGAATTTTGTGCCAGGACCTTTTTGCTATTTATTTTCTTTAAACAATAGCTGGAAATTCTTATTAAAGAAACTTGTTAAGTGGAACAGAGATTGTGGACAGCATCCAGGAAACCTACCTCACAATTAATGTTTGTTTCCTTCAACTTTGACCAAATGACTCCATTCCAAGTTGAGTGTGTGCGTGCGTGCGAGTGTGCGTATATGCTTAGATAAGATATTTTCCCACTGAAAACCACTAGCAAGATTATCTGCAGTTCTACTTTTAAAGGAAAAGTAGCCTAATCCATGTGACACGTCTTTTAAAACTCTAAAGTTGACAAGTACAATAAAAATAGATGACACTGTCTTTAAAGAATTAGGTTACACCTATACAAATTAAAACAAATATTTCTTACCTCTAAATTTGGATTCCTCAAATCTGCTTTCCATCCAAATTGCTTCATCAGAGCAATTCCAATTACTCTTCCTACTTCCTAGAAAGTAGCATGTTATAGAAGAGAACATATTAAAAACAAAAAGTTTAAACTTAAGCAAAAACTAACAGCTTTGTCAAAAAACTGAGTTAAATTATCTGATGGTAATTTAGCATTCCAGTATTAAAATATCATGCTATGCCATTTTACATTCAAGGCAGTAAGGTTGTATTTTACCTCCTTCATTCTCAAGTTTCACCCTTTGGTATTAATGTTTACTCATGTGTAATCCCTACTGTAACTCTAGGCACATGAAATTAGATATTAGGTCAGACTATGATCTGATGAATGTGGTCCTTCTTACAAGTGGAAATATGAACCATTTTAGCTATTACTATTCTCTGTGTTTAAAAATCTCCAGATCAGTATATTTAGACTCAACCTTCAGGGTATCCCTCTCTAACCTTAGGGGTTGGCTGCAGGACCCAGACCTGCCCTGGGTAGCACTGAATGCTCTAATGGCCAACCAAAGATGTTTTCTGATAATAACTATGACGTCTGCTCTTCCCCATTGTTGGGGCCTTATGTGTATTTCTCGACTTAGCTCCAGTTTCAATCTTCTGCACAGTACCTGGTGCAGCATAAATTCTTAATAATTACAGAACAGCACTGAGGGAATTCCCCAAAAGCGTAGGTCCATGATATCAGGATTTCCAAATGCAAAGGACATCTATGAATTTAAGGAAACTTTTTTTTGGGTGGGGAGGGTTTGTCTGGGTCTCACTATGTAGCTCAGGCTGGCCTTGAACTTGCAGAGATCCTCCTGCTGCTCAGCCTCCTAGTGCTAGGATTACAGGCATGCACCACCATGCCCAGCCCTTTAAGGAAACTTTTAGACAGAAAGTAAAAGGAGGTTATTACATGGAATGGTATACTCTCCTCTCAATAACTGAGGCTGAGTCAAGGAAAATGTATTTTTAAAAGAAATTTAATCTTATGAAATTAGGCCTAATTATCCATCTGGCCTGCTTGTCGGTTCTGTGAGGTTTACATCTCATTTTAGATCTAAAGAATGAGTAATTCTTTTAGAAAACAGGAGCTCCCTTTGGGAGGCAGGCATACCTGTGCAGTAAAGACATTCCCTATGGTTCCACTGCAGCGGCAAGATACCCTGAAGGTCAAGTCCTTCTGGCTATGAGTATCAGCTGTTCTCTCTGCCTCCCTCTGACCGTCTTCTTTTTCAAATTTGTCTCTGCTAGCGGTGGAATCTCTTTGCTCCAGGGTGTCTTCCTCTGTTTGTTCTTCCAGCTGGCATTCCCTGTGATCACCTTCAATCTTTTGCATTTCTTCTGTTTTTAATTTCTTAGCAATGATGCTTTCGTTTTCTCCTACTTTTCTTTTAAGTGAGCTAGCGACCCTCTGAGAAAGTTCTTCCCCATTTATGACAAGTTCAAGAAGGTTTTTCCAAACTGAAATGGCATCTAACCAACTTCCAGGATCATCGTTTACAAGTCGTTGTACTTCATTAAGTATTTTTCCTAAATAAATAAAAATCTCCATTATCCTATCTTGAAGCTTTAAATGATATATTATATTTTTGCCTACAAATGTCATTATCACGTTTGAAACATAAATTCTGTTGAACTTCTACATAAATAAAACTTCACTTTTATTTGGGAATTTCTGTGATTTATCATAAGAATACTGAACAGAATAAAGTTCATTCCTTTATATTATATGCAGTATTAAAACTGTCTTAAAATTCCTATGGAATTACCAGCTAATTCTTTTTTTTTTTTTTTATCAGCTAATTCTTTAACAAACCATTTTTCTTATGGTAATGTATATCTCTCATCAATATATGCACAGACCTAAAGTGTTTATTGATTTTTAAAATAATGATGATCTTGTCTATAAAAATTAAGGTAAAAAAAGAATAAATTATAAAACACAGCTCAGAAATATAGCAGCTGTCTCTTGGGCCTATTTCATTTTAGACCACACAATATTAGCACAAATCTTAAAATAAGTTGCCATAGAGTAAAACTTCCAATAAATAATCCATTCATGACTTAGGCACTACCAGCATGCTCAGTAACATTTAATCTTTTCTTGCTGTTTAAGGGTCATCAAAATGATCCAAAAGTAATTACTGTAGTTCCCTAAAGATGAGGTGTATGAAATACTGGGATGAAATTATATTGACCCCACAGTATAATACCTGGGGATTACTTTAATTTTTCTTGCTGGTCTTGATCGCTTGTCATTTGTACCTTTCTTGAAATAGTTTATCATAGACGATATAATTACACGATCTCTAAGGCACACTGGCGTCAGCAATCCAACTGAGGTTGAAGGCAGTGGTCAATCCTGCAGTGCCTGACCCATTTTTTTTGCACTTTAATCAAGATCCTTAAATTATTTTCACAGACTATAAAGTTAGGGTGTGGATGAGAAATATCTTAGGTCCCTTTTTACTAATAAATAAACATCAGTTTATTGAAAACAGTGAAGGTCTAGAATTAGGAAATTTTACCATGCAGTGTTTTATAATTATATCACTCAGTTAAACTTTACGAGGTGATAGGTTTTTTTTTTAATCAATTTATTGTTAAAATAATGTACTTTGGGTTATTACATACTTCTAAATACAAATAAATGAAACTGAAAACCTTTATCTCTAGAGACATTGCCAGATCGTAATTCACAACGATGGCCTAGGCCTCTAAGATCTCAGAAGGCAGGCAGCAGATCACAAAGAAGAGACAGGTTCTAATACAATTACATGGTAGGAGTCAGCAAAAACAGAAAGGGATATAACTAATGATGCCACCTGTGTGAACACATCATCAAAATGTGAAACGCCATATAGTTATCCCAAAAACTCAGAATACAATATATCATGTGGGTATAAAGCAACAGGGATAGACCGTACCTTTACTTAGAGAAGCAGCAGCAAGTGGAAACTGCTTTTTAATCAGCAAGAACAGTCTTTCAGCAGATTTTAATTTTTTCAGCATATTCAAATCAGAACGGGTAGTGAAAAAAACCTTTCCTGAAACATATTCAACCTAGAGACAGACAGACAGCAATGTAATCCAGTGTCAGAACAAGAGCCATTTTCTTCCCCCTTAAGAGGTTAAGCACGTCTTCTAGATCACTGATGACGAACCTCTGAGAGCTTTCCACGGCACAAACACCCTCTGTGATACATGTGCCACAGGTCCACCACCACCATTCTAGATTAACATTAAAAAATGACCATTGCTTTCTGAAGCATCTATTATTTGTTAGGGACCTACACTAGATTCTCCAAATACGTCTGCCCGTCCTTCTTTGTAATCCATGAAGGTACATTTCATCACACTCATTTTACACATAAGGAAACTGAAGTTTAGGTTAGTTTAATTTGTATAAGGTTACATAGTGACCAAGGTCATAGTCTCTCTGTGTTATTCTACATCTTATAAAGTACAGATACATATACTGTTAGAAAAATAATTACAGAATACTGAGTCATTATATTACCAAACCTCATGCACAATTTAAAAGTGAGCCAAAGAAAGGTGTAATGTACAGCACAAATTAGGACAGATTAGGTTTCTAGCTCAAGGTAGGTATGTATTAACCATCTGCCAGTGGTCTACCAGGAAGCCTGAATAATAATAATAATAATGTAACAGACATACAAATCATATTAACAGACATACAAATTATAATAATGTAACAGACATATAATTTTATAAATTATAAAACACAGCTCAGAAATACAGAAGCTGACTCTTGGACCTATTTCATTTTGGACCACACAATATTAGCATAAATCTTAAAATAAATTGCCATACAGTAAAATTTCCAGTAAATAATCCATTCATGACTTAGGGACTACCAGCATGCTTAGTAACACTTCATCTTTTCTTTTTTTTTTGGTTTTTCTCCGGTACCGGGAACCGAACTCACGACCTTGCGCTTGCCAGGCAGGCGCTTTGCCGCTGAGCTAAATCCCCAGCCCCACTTCATCTTTTCTTGATGAGCAAGGGTCATCAAAATAATCCAGAAAGAATGCTTCAGAAAGAAATGGTTTTTTTTTTAATGTTAATCTAGAATGGTAGTGGTGGACATGTATCACAGCAGGTTGTCTGTGTCGTGGAAAGCTTTAAAAGGTTCATTAAAATGCAAAATTTATAAGACAGTATCTTGAATTAACCTCAGAAAAAACCAAAGAGTTTTAATATAATGGACCGATATACTGTAGGTACTATCAATCTGGAAGCTACTGAATATGGAAGCCAAGATTACTCAAGCTTGGGGAAGAATCCCACAGGATTTGGGAAGAGAGATTCAAACAAAACAACAAGTTGCACAGAAGAGAAAAAACCTGGCTAAGGAAACTGTAAGTGTGCCGGGCAACATCTGCTGTATTATGTTGACTGAGAGCGTTGGGTGGATGGAAGGCGTGGCTGAGATCAGCCTGATCTATGATCGTGAAACTGTGAGTAGCGCAGATGGTAAAGGTCAGCCGTTACAGAATGTCGATGAAGACTGTGACAGCACTGCTTTAGCTGGCAGAAAAATTACTTGGGAAGAGGCAGGAAAGACTGCACATAGGATGTGATGCTGGAGGGAGAAGCACATCACTAAGGAAGAAATGATGAGACACATGTCTGTAGGAACTGGAAAATGCACAGAAGCAAGGATAAGTGCCTCAAACAAACCGGCTTTGAAGACAGCAGTATGTGGTAAAGGCAGAGAAGACAGGAAAAGCGAGGAGCACTGCTTTATAGGGAGCCCCATGAGTGTGGCAAATGGAGCCCTATACCAAGGGAATCTAATTTTTTTTTTTTTTTCCGGTACTGGGAATTGAACTCACGACCTCACGCTTGCCAGGCAGGTGCTGTGCCACTGAGCTAAATCCCCAGCCCCGAATCTAAATCTTTTAAAACCAACTCAGCTTTCTTAAGTTCAGCATGGATGTGGTTTGTCTTGAAATTCTCCTTTTAGCAGGGGCCATGGGCTGATGAGTGTGGTTCTAAATTATCTCCTAGAACTAAGGTATCAGGGAATCTCTGATAGCAAGAAACCTGGTCTACAGTGTATCATCTTGAAAGGCGGTAGAAACTTGAAGAGGTATCGCCAGTGAGAGGTGAACAGGTAGGACACGGTCACTCTTGGAAGGGATTAACGGTGGCCTCAGGGAGTGGGCTGTGTCTCATGGGAGAAAGATGTTTTAGAAGAGCAAGTGTGGTCCCTTCCCACTCCCTCATTTTCCCATTTGCATACATACATGCCCCTTCTAATTGCAGCTGGTTCCCTCGCTGCTTCTTGGCCATGCTGTGATGCAGACAGGGTGGCTCTTGGCAGGAACTGTGAACATTCTGTTTGTACTTTCTAGCCACCTGAATAGTGAGCCAGACAGATAAACCTCTTTTCTTTATATACTTCCCAGTTTCGGGCATTCTATTATAGCAAAGTGAAACAGATTTAGACACCACGTGTTCACATAGCAACAATTCAGGGGAACTTGAACGCCAAAGGTTTTGTTTTGCTTTGAATGTGATATGGTCTGATTGAACTTTTGAGATGGTAATTTCTGGGGTTACTGCTCTAGGTAAATGAAGAATTCTTACTCTAGGGTGACACCAATTAAGACCCAATAACGTAGGTATTAGTAGTGCAGATGATCAACACAGGTGGAGGAAGAGATGATGACATTATGGAGAAAAATGGCGAATGAGAATGTTTAAAAAAATCAATATTTAAGGAAATAGTAACCCAAACAAGAACTGGTTTTCAGAATTTCTTTTTCATCACATAGATGACATTTTCTAAACTAAATATACATCTCAAAATGTGCAGACCATGAAACAAAGTTTTACAAAGTAACTTTTCAAAAATTCAGATTTTGTTACCTGGCATAAGAAGATAGCTGATATTATACCAATTGCAGAACTATTTAATAGACCCACAATACTTTGCCAAGGTTCTGGGGAAATTGAACTAAATATTTTACTGAAAATGTATGGTTTTAATAATTGAGAACTAAAAACAAGTCTATTGGTATAAGCAGATTCTAGGCCAATTATTTTATCTAGTAGTCAGTGATAAAGACAATGATTTATAATTCCTTACTTATATAAAGTTTCTATTGTTTTCATTTAGTTATTAAACAAAACATTTTATACATTTTCAGTAAAAATATCTTCCTTTTTAAAAAAAATCCCCTCTTTTTTTTTTTTTTTTTGGTACTGGGAATTGAACTCATGACCTCATGCCTGCCAGGCAGGTACTGTGCCTGAGCTGTATCCCTGGCCTTATTCTCTTTTTAAAAAAATAAATATTCCTACAAAGAACATGACTACCAGTTAAGAAAACCTAAAGAGTTTAATGTACTTAAGGCTTAAAATCATAATTATACTATGTGCTGATGCCCTAAAATACCAAATGCAGTCTCAAACCAAATTTAGCAACATTATTCTCTTGGAAAATTAACACAGGCCTTCTTCTTAGAAGTAATAAGCACATAATCTGAAGTACTTTACTAAATTGTAAGATTGTCACTGTGAGAATCACATAATCATAGAGATGAACACACATGGGTTACACTTTGTGAAGATTACATTACATCTGAAAGAAGTAGGGAGATTGAATTTTGGTGATAATGATTTCGTCAGCTGCTGAAGCTGTATTTCCCCCTCTTTTTCAGTTTATTGCTTATCACTGGTCATATTTAGTAATAGTCCTTAGGGAGAAATATAGCATTTTAAAAGACTTCATTCTAATATTTGTTACTTGAAAATTCATTTATATGGTTTTTTCCATTTGGAATTTAATTATAATAAAGTGTCTCAAATCAGCTGTTTTTATGCCTAACACTTTTTTTGTGTGTGTGGTGCTGAGGACAGAACTGAGCCTTTGCCATTCTAGGCAAATATGCCTAAGACCTCTGAAGATGAAATAATAGCTCCATTAGCTTTTCGTGTATCCAAGTGGTTAGCATTTTTTTTATTCCTTTTAAAATGTGTGGACTCAAGTTTAACACAAAGTTTAAAAGTTTAAATCTAGGCAAAAACATAAAGTATTACCAGGAGGTGCCAAAATTCTTCTAATTCCACAGATGTCACTTAATTTTAGAACAAATTTTAAAGTACCTAGTGATATGTCAATGTGGCATTTAAATTTGTTTTGGTTCAATTTAGAAGATGTGGTTCAATTGAAAATTATATTTCTTTGATTTCCCAAAAGACATTCAATCTAAAGGGGATACAGAGACTTAAAAAAGGCAACCTTATGCGATCATCTCATTAAAGGACAACAACTACAAAATAACTATCTGCGTAGCACTAACTCCCTATCTCTTCCTACTGTCATGATACCATTAAAAAACTGGAAATTGTTTGGGCTATTGCTATGAAGGACTTGCGTTAATCATCCTTGATACATGGATTCATAAAGATCAAAGCATCAGCCGACAGGATCTTTCTGGTATGCTGGCATTAAAGATACCTCTGTTACATTCAATTGTACCTCATATAGAACTAGTCCTACTATTATTCTTATAATAAATACTATTTCATACAATACTATTATAAAGAAAAGCTTAATTTTATGTAAGTTTATATATTATATAATACATAATTTAATTATAAAAATATATAATTTTTGCCAGGTGTGGTGGCACATGCCTGTAATCTCAGCACTGAGGAGGATAAGGCAGGAGGATT